TCTCTCTCTCTCTCTCTCTCTCTCTCTCTCTCTCTCTCTCTCTGTTTTTTCTAGACACGGTTTCTCTGTGTAGCCCTGGCTTTCCCTTGCACTTTCATTTCTGAAAGTTCTGGGATATCCACGGAGAGCGGGCATGGTGGCGATAGGGGGCGCTGATCAGCGTATCCCTTCCAGAGCCTCACACGCTGCAGTGGATGTATGGCTGCGATATGGGGCCTGATGGTCGCCTGCTCCGCGGGTATTGTCAGGAGGCCTATGATGGCCGGGATTACATCGCCCTGAACGAGGACCTGCGCTCCTGGACCGCGACTGACTTTGCCTCACAGATCTCTAAGAGCAAGTCAGAGAAGGTCGATGAGGCCCACCACCAGAGGGCATACCTGCAAGGTTCTTGTGTGAAGTGGCTCCAGACATACCTAGAGCTGGGAAAGGAGAAGCTGCTGCGCTCAGGTACCCTGGAGACCTCTCAGTTTTCCTATGGGGTTTGGGGGAAAGGCTTGGGGTATATAGAACTCAGGGGCAGAACGCTGTCCAACAGGCGCAGCGCTGAAGAGGAGAGAGACTCCCAAGGCTGCTTTTCCCATGTAGGGAGACAAATCCTTAACACAAGCAGATCAGCCTTGACTATGGCCCTGGACCTATGGGGAGCTTTTTCTCAGGCCTCCCTCTAAGCCCTACTCAGGCTCTCTAGAGTCAGACTCCAGCTTTTCTCAGTCAGATGGAGACCAGAAGCCCTTCCCCTGAGTCTGCAGAGACCTGGAGCCTCCTACTCCATATTGTCACACTCACATCCCAAAGAGTCTCAGAGAACATATCACCCAGGTGCATGTGCTCTAGCTGGGGTCTTGATCATGGACACCCTAATCCCACCCCAGTTCTCCTGTCCATCCCAGGATGGTCCCATGTATACTGCTGAGTGCACAGAAGAAAGTAAGATGCCTCATCCTTTGAACTCTCTCCCTCAGATCCTCCAAAGACACGTGTGACCCATCATCCCAGATCTGAAGGTGATGTCACCCTGAGGTGCTGGGCCCTGGACTTCTACCCTGCTGACATCACCCTGACCTGGCAATTGAATGGGGAGGACCTGACCCAGGACATGGAGCTTGTGGTGACCAGGCCTTCAGGGGATGGAACCTTCCAGAAGTGGGCATCTGTGGTGGTGCCTCTTGGGAAGGAGCAGAGATACACATGCCATGTGCAACATGAGGGGCTGTCTCAGCCCCTCATCCTGAGATGGGGTAAGGAGGGAGTGGGTGTAGGGCTGCAGTAGGGAAAGCTGGAGCCTTCTGCAGACCCTGAGCTGGTCAGGGCTGAGAGCTGGGGTCATCACCCTTACCTTTATTTCCTGTACCTGTCCTTCCCAGAGCCTGCTCCACCCACTGACTCCAACATGGTGATCATTGCTGTTCTGGGTGTCCTTGGTGCTGTGGCCATCATTGGAGCTGTGGTGGCTTTTGTGGTGAAGAGGAGGAGAAACACAGGTAGGAAAGGGCAGGGTCTGAGTTTTCTCTCAGCCTCCTTTAGAAGTGTGCTCTGCTCATTAATGGAAAACACATCCACAATCATCATTGATACTGTCTCCAACTGGGTCTGCTGTCAGTTCTGGACACTTCCTAGGGCTGGTGTTTCCCTGGTCTCTCATGGCTTTTCTTCTCACAGGTGAAAAAAGAAGCTATGCTCATGTTTAAGGTAAGTATGCATGTTAGGAGGGGGGAAAGGGGGAACCCTTGTCCCTGAGGCCTTTAGGATGGAGCTGGAGCTCACAGGGAGTTGAGTGGACCCATAATTGCCTCTTTCCAAGTCATCTCAGTCTCCTGAGTGTGCCTTATTATTTCTTCTACTGCAGGCTGCAAAGCTTTCCTGATCACTGACTGCCCTCAGAAGGCATGAAAAGGTACAAAAATCCCTGTGGGCCTGGGATTGGACCTGAGTCGAAGGGGAGAACACTGGATCCCAGGGCCTCCCAGATGTAAAAATTTGAATGACTTGGTATCTTTATATTGGATGTAAGTGCCTTTACCCACTTCTGCCTCTCCCAAAAATGTATTTGTTGAAATTTGGACCATTTTTGGTTACTCATTTTTTTTTCTTTTTTTTTTTTCGTGGTTACTCATTTTTACTGGACTTAGACTTGGCAGTGGAAGCAGCTTACATCTCTCGGCAGTCTGCTCCTGCCGTTTTTTCTTTGGCTTCCTTCATTCTCTTGGCCCAACACTTAGCTCTGCAGCCTCTCCTTGGTCCCCATAGCACATCCTCTCTACAGAACAGCACATCGGGTGTTGTGTTGCAGGACTCGTGGAGTAACAAGATGACAGATCTCCAGGGCTTTGGTTCTGTACCTCTTACCTTCTTTGCTTACTTACTGACAATGTGCTGGCCGACACCCCCAGCTTCCTTAGGAAGACTAAAAAGCCTTCAGATTCTGCAGTTCATTTGGGCCCCAACCGCTGAGGCACAGTACTGTCTGTCAGCCCAGGAATCTCCTTTTCTCCTTTGCTTATGATAACCAAGCTGAGGACTCAGACTGGCATCCATAATCCGTCTGCGGACAGACTCGGGCACCTCTCACCAGCTTTCCTTGGTCTC